AAAAAAACAATCAAACAATTCCTAAAATGAAAATAATAAGTATTTATTGGGCATAGGTGTACCAAGGCAAGCATTTCACAGGAACTTTATGGGAATGTTTTTTTGGAAAAAAAAAAAGGTGGTAAGGCATAGGAAGGTGGATCGTGGAAAGTCTGAAGTACTGGAATACATGAAAATTGTAAATATATATGTATATATATAAAATAATATATAAAATGTAATCAATCATACAAGGAAATAATGGCTTCTGAGATTGTTAAAAAAAAACCTCTCATCTGTACTGGCAACATTTACCACACAACTTGGATTCTAACACTTCTCAACATCAAAATGTGAGGAATGCTGACAAAATAAATTACTTCCGGCAATTCATAAATGGAGATGACATTCACCAAAAATCAACAAGTTGTTTCTTTTTAGGTTTTATGAGCGCTTGCAACTGCAAAAGGTTATATAAGCGCCAGAAGATTAGAGGTGTTACAAGAGAGTAACAAACATAAAAAAGAAGAGGGGGAGATAAGGAAGATAGATGTTTCAACAAGTTGGTGAAATTTGTAGATTTTCAACTGATGCCATTATAATATCTTCTTCCAGTTTAACATCATGCCTTTTATCATTCCATACTAATAAATAGGGAAAAACTCTATAGACCTATGAATTTGATGAATCTGTAGTTTATCCATTGGACTAAAATCTTAGAAGTAATTCATCTTGTCAGCACCCCTCACAAATATCGTCGCTGTCCCCAAAAAAAAAACAACCCCAAAAAACAAATGAGTAATAGATTTTTTTTTTGGAAACGCATCCCTTAAAATGGAGCACAAATGGAGACCCCACATTTTATTTTCCTTGAGACAGCAACAATACATATCTAGCTCAACCCTTGCAATAACCCAACAATACAGTACAATCACAGCTGTCAAATTTCTTCAATAGGAATCAACAACAAACAGAATCACGCACTGCAGGCATAACAACCACCCACAACATGAGCCTCATAGAGAAATGTGTGTGAGTGTGTGTGTGTGTGATTGTGTGTGAGTGAGTATGTCGTATTTTACGGGTGTTTGATGAATGGGGGGGGGATGGCGGTTGCTGTTGTTGTGTGTACCAACATAATCTATGTAATATTTAATATCATTACTAAAAGTTCTAATTCCAACATCTTTCCATTTCTGAATTCCCAGAGTCTAATCTTTCCGGAACATGAACTTTCATTGAGCCTCTGACAATGATGTGAGACGTCAACAGCAACTTTGAGAACATAAACTACACAAAAAGAGCAAAAAACATGCGAGCAGTCGGCCCGTTTCGCAGTCTACAGGCACCATGACCTACAGAAGGCACACAGCCTACTCTATGACATTGGGAAGGTTTACAGGTTTCATTTCCTTATTCATCCAACAAGGATAACATGAGCAACAAGTTGACAATAATACTTTTTCAAATTTAAAATTGCCTGCAACTTCTTAGTTCTTAGTTCCCATGATCTGTACCTCATAACTGAAACGAAATGCTTTCTTTCTCTTTTTTTAATAGTTTTAGTAGAGGTTTTACGGCGCTCGCAACTGCATAAGGTCATATGAGCTTTCTCAGAAAAAAATACGACCTAACCATTTGGACAACATCGTCTTTAAAAAAATGCATTTTGCTTGAGGTGATATGGTTATGTTTATTTTGAATATAAAATAATGTGATTACTGCGTAGGATCATGCCACACGACCTCTGATGAATAATAAATGTGTAGTAGACTCCCTGACTCAAACGAGTACTGTGGCAGTAGAGAGAGAACACTGGGAACGAAAAAAGTAAGTACCCGATAATATTAACTAATAATAAATAACAGGGATGACAAAATAGTAGTGTAAAAAAAAATGAACGTCTTACAGTATCCCGCAGTGGATGGGAACAATCTCTAGAGTACGGGTACTCCGCACACCATTAGAAATAACAATCAGAGTTATAACAGTTTATAACAATCAGAGTTATATCAGTTTATAACAATCAGAGTTATAACAGTTTATAACAATCAGAGTTATATCAGTTTATAACAATCAGAGTTATAACAGTTTCAAACTGCTCTCAAATCTCAAACAGTGATGATAGGTGTGGTGATAGAGGAACTGGTAATATAATGTTGTTTGTGAAGGAAGGAGTAAATTGTGAGATATTTACTATGTAATATAATGTTGTTTGTGAAAAGGAAGGAGTAAATTGTGAGATATTTACTATGTGAGGTGTTAAAATATATGTAAATTTATAAATACCATTTATTGTGTTTATAATAATATACCACTGTAATTAAAATTTTGTGGGGAAGTGGGGGGGGGGGGGGGGTGGTGTAATTAAAACATATTTCTTTCCTTTCAAGGAGAGTTACAAACATAGAACATAGACCACCCAGGAAACAAAAAGAATACTGTAGAAAGCCTGACCAATACAGACACATACTTTTAATCTGACAACTGAATGTCAAACTGATGAAGCATGGGTAAAGTCTAAGTGGGCCCCTCCATCCATTACTTTTTTACATTATAGAATGGGGTGGGGAGGGTGGGGGGTGGGGGGGGGCGCAAAGTAGACTTTTATCCATCCGTGCAGATTGTCATCAACTAATACTGCACAACATTACAAAGGGAAAACAGATGTTTATAAATCCATCCCGTCCAAAGCCCCCGCAAACTATCAAAGACATCAAAAGGCAGAGAAATGAAATGATTGAAAAATTTACGTTTTACACCATCATCAATACATTCTGAATCTCAAATAAAAAGGGGACACATTACCCCAGTAGACAGACAGTGATGACACTTGATAAAACAATTTCCCCACACAGGAAGCAAACTCGTGTCCTCCGCGTGCGACAGCAAAGAGCCGAAACATCCACGCCACAGAATCCAGAAAGGGCAACAAAATATTCACTTTAACTTTATATCTCCGGCAAACCGCTCCAAGCGGCTCTCCGTCAAAACCACTGTGCCGTTAGCATCAGCTCTGGTAAACTCTTTTACCACGACTTCTACATCAAATTTACTTTTCGGCAGTTGCCGAAAACAGGTCTCTTTTATCCAGATTTCATTCATTAGACGAAGAACTATCAAAATAGGTTAACTTGATCTGATATAATGACCCACTCGGTGACGTTTTTGTCATTTTTAGATTTAGTACCCAAAAAAAAAGGGCCCGGCATAGTGGGTTCACCCCCCCCTCAGAGATGAGGAGTTAACCTCAGGGTCACAAGCCATAGAGCATTCATCATGTCTCCTCAATTAAAAAAAACAAACCCAGCCTTTATTAACAAAACAATCTTTTTCACAAAATCAAATAGATAAATGATGTTATTTACGAGGGGGTAGCATCCCTTTGAAAAAAGAAAAAGTTTAGCAGTTTGAGCGACGGTAAAATATTCAATATAGATTTCAAAAGAAAAATACTTTTTCATGTGCAACAACACTGAAACAACAAACTCACAAAAAGAAATGTATAAATTGTTTCCTTACTCGATTGTAAAATTTGATAAGGTGAGAATTCAAATCTAAAATTTATATATATTACATCTATGTAAACCATTTCCTTTTCTAAAAATAACGTAAAGAGAAAAGAACAAACGTTATACGTATTTAATCTCACGTCCACTGACTGACATGAATAAGCTTGATATTATATATACGATAAATTGAAGAACGGTTGAGAGAAGGGAGTTTTTGCTGACAGCTGGCAGTGTCAGACACTTACTGGGTTGTACACAAGAATAAGCCGGTACGACGGTGTCTTTTTTTGTTGTTGTGTAACAGATTATATCCTCATTTCGCCAGGCTAAAATTAGGGTTACAGACTATAATAATAATAACGATAATAATGATAATAATTTTTTTTAAATTATCATTGTTTTTATAATCATCATCATTATCACAATAATAACAGTAATAATAATAATAATAATAATAACAATAATAGTAATAATCGATTGCATTTGTATGATATAGTGATAATCAATACCAGAAAGAAGGCTCTCTATACACTTAGCAATTTATTCCCGACAGATGTCACTACATTCCAGAAAATACTCAGTAGTAACAACGGAAATAAATGGAAGGAATAGAATAGACAACACAAGAGCACCTACCAGCCACCCGCTCAGATCATATGACAGGACACTGACTGTCCTACAGAAAAACCAGAACCTATGAGCATTACAGACCTTAACTCTTTAACCATACAATTTAAAATCACTTTTCCGCGTAATTCTCTCGCGTTTGTGGAAATGCGACCCGACATATTATGTTTTTAAAACTGCTTGTTTCATGTCAAACTGATCAATCATGCATTACCCAGACTTAGAATTCATTTATCTTTGACTTATGGGTCAAACTAAAGGCTTGTTAGCTTGTACTTTTTTTTATTCAGCCCGTACCATAATACAATAATAACTTCGCATCCGACGGAGGTACCGTCCAGCCATGGTTATGGACCTCGACTACCGGAAGCTACCACCGTCAAGACATGGTTAAAGAGTTTTTTAAAATCCACAACAGCACACGGTCAGAGAAAAAAAAAATTTGCTTTACCCTAAACTCTACTGCATACCACGTCATTTATGTCACCTTATAGTACTACTACGTTTCTGTTCTAATTTCCACCTTAAAAAAGAGGTTAGCTCACACAAAAAAAATTTCAGACAAGATGGTTTTGACTGATCTCGAAAAATTATGTGAGGCATCGCGGTGAAATCAGGCGCTCGTCAAAATAATGAAATCAAAGATATCAGCATTTTCCATCCAGTTTGACAATTTCTTTTTTAATTTCTGTTTTTTGGCTTAACCTCTTTTACGTCCATATAAAAACACATTTCCATGTGAATTTTACTGAAAAGCATTGATTAAAGGCACAAAATACGTTTATTTTTCAGTTTTCAAAGACTCTTTAGCAATTGGAGATACCAAACTTTGGCAGCCATTTTCTTGCTAATTTCACCACTGAAACCATGCGACCTTACTTCCTTCAATCGCAAAAATCTCAACTTCTATTCAAGATCTGTGTGTATTTTTTTCATCAAAAGATGGTCAAATGAACAATCTTTAAGATGATAATAATAACTCTAGATGCCCAAAAATTGACGATTGCCTGATTCTACCCCGTTGTAACACATGACTATTTCAAATTTAAAGTTTGCATACATTTGATTTTTTAAAAATAAAGTCCCTTCCTGAGGAAGCCCTCTGCGGTATGACCGCAGCACTACCGTACCAGATGGGCCACCAGTTTCCAGGCAGGCGTGGACCGTGTGTGTGTACTGTCAGATGGGCTGACCGGTGTCCAGGGAAGTTTACCACAGACCGGTGGACTTTCCCCCAGGTGGGTTCGACACTTTTGTGGCCGACTTCTTGTTCTTTTTGTCGTCAAACTGAGCACCTATGAAAAAAAGAAAGCAAAAATGGTATATGTTTTTAGTTAAGAGTTTTACGGTAGGTACTTGAAACAGAATTAGGTCAGATAAGTGCTAAAGATTAGAGGCGTTACAAGAGAGTAACGAACACAAAAAGGTGGAGGAGAGTTTTTAGTTTCAGTAAGTGTTTTACGGCCCTTGCAACACAATAAGGTCATATAAGTGCCGAAGAATAGATGTGTCAAAAGAGAGTAACATACACAAAAAAGTAGGACATAGGAAAGGAGAAAACCACACCAGAGCACCAGCCAACCACCCACAAAATTAGGAAAGATAAATACTAAAGTTGTTTCAGTAAGGTTTCACGGTGCTCGCAACTGCATAAGGTCATATGAGCCCCAAGGGGTGGAGTCAACAGAGAAGTCCAAACCAGGAATCAGGCTTACTCTGCTCACCTGTCTAGCCTCCACAACACAAAGTCTGCCCCAACTATCAAGGCACCCCCCGGAAATAGCAGTTCACAAGAGAGTGACAAACATACAAAAGAAGTAGAGGTAAAATGACGACAGTAAGGATGGGGAAAGAAAAAGCAGCAATTCCCTCTATGTTGTAAAAGTAGAGAATGAGCATGACATTGATAAATCAGCCCATTTAAAATTCTACTGTGCATAAGAACATGTTAATATCCCCCCTTTGGAAAGGCCTAAAGACACTTCAGTCTGTACCACTGCCCTGGGTGGGGGGGGGGGGTAAATGCTAAAGATTAGAGGCGTTACAAGAGAGTAAGAAACACAAAAAAGGAGGAGGAGAGGTTAGTTTTAGTAAGTTTTTATGGCACTTGTAACACAATAAGGTCATAAAAGTGCTGAAGATTACAGGTGTTACAAGAGAGTAACAAACACAAAAAAGTAGGAAGGGAGATAAAGACGAGAGATGTTTGATAGGAAAGAAGAAGCAAACCACACCAGAACACCCGCCAACCACCCTCGGAGCAGGACATTTTCTTTTTATAGTAGAGGTTTTACGGCGCTCGCAACTGCATAAAGTCATATGAGCGCCAAGAGGTGGATGTCAACAGAGAAGTCTTTACAGGGAGTCAGACTTACTCTGCTCACCTCTCTAGCTTCAACAGCACAAAGTCTGTTTCGACTTCCAAGGAAATAGCGGGTCACAAGAGTGTGACAAACATACAAAAGAAGTAGAGGAAATTGATGATAGTAAGGATCAGGAATGAAAAAGCAGCAGTTCCCTGTTGTAGTTTAGGCACAGTTATGAGCATGATATTGTTAGATCAGCCCATTTACAATTCTACTGTGCACTAGAACGAAAAATGTCCCCCCCCCCCACTTTGGGAATGGCCTAAACACACTTCAGTCAGTGGCACCGCCCTGGTGGGTAGAGAGACTCTAAGACAATTGACCACACAATGACCACATGACAACTGACCACAGAAAACAACTACAGGGCAACTGACCACTGAGAGAAAAGGAAGAATCCTGCATGTTGCGCACGCCGCCTCGCGTGGGTCGGCTGAGGAACTCCGGGCCCGGGTCGCTGTGGAAGATCGGGTTCTCCGCACGGCGGTCGGGGGTGCCGGCCCCTTCCGATAGGTCAATGATCGGGCCGGTGTACGGGTCCCGCTCCACTTTGACCGGCGATGCCACCTAGAGGGGGTTAACAAAAAAACACATAGATACATTAATCGTGTGGTGTGCACGAAAGACAAAGTTTTTGTTTTAGTAAGAGTCTTATGGCACTTGCAAAACAAAAGGTCATATACGTGCCGAAGAATAGATGTGTTACAAGAGAGTAACATACACACAAAAGAAGGAGGAGAGACAACGTCGATAGATGTTTGATAGGAAAGAAGGAGCAAACCACACCAGAGCACCCGCCAACCACCCAAACAAAAAACAAAGACATACAGAGACAACGGAAGGAAAGAAAGAGCATGGTAACAGAAATTTCCAATAAGGTAAAGGGAACCCTAAGGTAAAAGGAAAGACAAAACTAAATAACTGAAATATTTTTTTACCGTTGGAGTTTTTAACACCCTCCATCAACGCAGTTTAGATAATTTAGGAAGCACGCTTAAACCCTGCCTGTCAGAGCCAATGTGGCTTAAGAGGGATACAACATCCCGTCAGAAAGATACGAGATATCTGATAAAAATTCTACCCATACAGAAATTGATTTTATAAGGTCTTTGGAGTGCTACGGCAAAGCTCCTAACAGCTACACCGTAGACACTGATCTAAACAAAAGAGGGAAATAAACAGCACAATCGCCTGGAATTTACAATAGAGGGGCAGGGGGAGAGCATTTGTTTGTTTGAGGAAAGAGGAGCACATTGAGACAATAAAAGTCATTTACGGCTTGAAAAAACAGGACAGATTGATGGAAACAACAAGGGAACTTTACTTTACTTTACTTTTCCGATCCAGCGGCCATTTGGGTTCTAGCCCTTCGGTCTGGACAACAAGGGAAAGAAGCAGGACCTCTGGAAACCCCCGAAACCTGGGTTAGCCCAATTGTCCTTAAAAGCGACCAAACACCATCTACACAGGTGTGCAATGCAAAAAAGACGACTCACCTTGTTCCTCATGGGCAGACGGCCGTAGACAAACTGAGCATTGGGTGGGGTGGGCACAAACTTTCCGTGACCTTCCGTGGCCTTGACCTGGCGATGTTTTTAGTTTTAGTAAGTGTTTTACGGCACTTGCAACGCATTAAGGACATATAAGTGCCAAAGATTAGAGGTGTCACAGTTTTTAAATTTTAGTAAGTGTTTTACGGCACTTGCAATACATTAAAGACATACAAAAGTGCCGAAGATTATAGAGGTGTTACAGGAGAGTAACAAACACAAAAAAGAACTTAAAGAAGGAGGTGAGATAAAGATGGTAGACGTGTAATAGGAAAGAAGGAAAAAACCACACAGGAGCACCCGCCAACCACCCACTGACCTGGCGAGAAGAGCAAGAACAAATCTTCACTGTACGGTAAAAAAGTAAATGTGCGGCAATATCAAGAAATCAGGTACTCGTCAAAGTAATGAAATCGAAAAGACTGACATTTTTTCACCTGATGGGCAATTTTTATCAATTTTTTGGTTGTTCTGAGCTCCACAACTTTTATGTTCATTTAAAAACACATTCCTGTGTGGATTTTACTATTTAACAAAAAGGATCAAATGAACAAAATATGTAAATTTGCCCTTTCCAAGGACTAAAGCTTGGAAAGTTACCAAACTTTGAAGCCATTTTTTTTTCACTTATTATTTTACCTCTGGCACCAGGCAACCCCTACCTTCTTTAAACACAAATATTTTGCCTTCTACCCAAGATAAATTTGTTGGGTATTTTTTTCCATCAAAAGCAAGGCCACTGAATGGGCATGGTGTGACAAGAAAAAAACTAAGGTGATTTTAGAGTCAATACCCATCACATGAACAAAAGGAAACCATATACTCTTCCATCTATAATAATAATAATAATAATATACAAGAAGAAGAAGAAGAAGAAGAAGAAGAAGAAGAAGAAGAAGAAAACCAAAAAGTATACTAAGAAGAAGAAGAAGAAGAAGAAGAAGAAGAAGAAGAAGAAGGAGGAGGAGGAAGAGAAGAAGAAGAAAACGGAAATTCAAGCACGATCAACTGTGGTTCACGAACCTCCCCGTTATCAACGGCGATCTCTCCGCGGGTGATGACGTATTCCGCCACGCCGTGACACGTCATGCCCTCGAAGATGTTGAAGTCCACGGCCTGGTGGTGCGTCTCTGCGCTGATGGTGCGGGTCGTCTCACCGTTCCAGATGATGATGTCAGCATCTGACCCCTCCGCTATTCTTCCCTATACACAATCAAATAAACAGAATTTTTTTTTTGATTTTTTTTTTTTTAAGTTTTTTAGTTTTAGTAAGAGTTTTACGACACTTGCAACACAATAAGGTCATATAAGTGCCGAAGAATAGACGTGTTACAAGAGAGTAACATACACAAAAAAGAAGAAAGAGATTTTTTTGTTTCAGTAGAGGTTTTACGGCGGACACAACTGCATAAGGTCATATGAACACCAGAAGATTAGAAGTGTCACAAGAGAGTAACAAAAAGAAAAAAGAAGAAGGGGAGATAAAGACGACATATGTTTGATAGGAGAGAAAGAGCTAACCACACCAGAGTACACGCCAACTACCCGCATTTTAAGTTAGAGTAAATAAAAGCACATCAACACAATAAAAGTCATTCAGAGCAGAGAAGCCAAGACAGACAGCAACAACAGGGGGAAAGAAAAGAAACGGGACCTACCAGTGGCGCCCTCTATTCACCCACCAAATAAACAGGGCTCAATTAATTAGTTTTAGTAAGAGTTTTACGGCACTTGGAACACAATGAGATCATATAAGTGCCGAAGATTAGAGGTGTTACAAGTGAGTAACAAACACAAAAAAGGAGGAGGGGAGATAAAGACGATAGATGTTTGATAGGAAAGAAGGAGCAAACCATACCACAGCACCCGCCAACCACCCACGAAGTAGGAGAGATAAGGACGACGGACATTTCATAGGAAAAAAGGAGGAAATCACACCAGAGCACCCGCCAACCACCCACTTTTTAAGTTTGAGTAAATAGAAGCATATCCACACAAAATCAGTCATTCAGTGCAGGGATGAAGCCAAGACAGACAGCAACAACAGAGGGAAAGAAAAGAGATTGGACCTACCAGTGGCGCCCTCAATTCACCCGCCAAACAAACAGGGCTTAACACTTTGCCATCGCAAGGCTCATATAATAAAAACCCTTGCCATTAAGAGGCAAAGGCATTTTGGGGAAAATCCAAAGAAACTGGGTGGTAAACATCGCCGATCGGCGAGATGTGACGGCTAATCATGGATGTGGTTTGATAATGCACCATCTCCTCGTTCAAATTTGAGTTACGTCGGTGGCCTAGAGATTAGACTCTCAGGCTCGCAGTCATTAAGTCGTGGGTTCAGATACCGTCAGGGGCCCGATGTTGTGTCCTTGGGAAAGGCACTTTACATAAATTTTCCTCACATTACCTAGGTGGGAATGGGTACCTGGCTAAAGACTGTGAAAGATCTTGTCAGTTTGTTAGTGTTTGAGCGAGTGAAATCCGAAGCTAGCACTGTATGCTTCCGAGGAAGTCAAAAATGTTTCTGAGTGTTCTAGGGTCTGCTGGGGTAATTACAGTAGAAAAAATCATTGAGCATGCTGTAGAGTGGGGAAATGCAAATTCTTTCAAAGATAAGTTTTAGTAAGCGTTTTACGGCACTTGCAACACAATAAGGTCATATAAGTGCGGAAGATTAGAGGTGTTACAAGAGAGTAAAAAACAAAAAAAAGGAGGTGAGATAAAGACAATAGATGTTTGATAGGAAAGAAGCAGCAAATCACACCAGAGCACCCACCAACCACCCACATTCACCTTCTTAGGGTAGACATTGAACACTTTGGCGGCAGTCGTACTTGTGACAGCGACGTAGCGACATGGGTCCATCTTTCCTGAATGCTGTGAAAAAGAAATACAAAATCCTTTGAAATCCGTACCAGGGTTGAGTATATTATTATTAAAAGTTCTATGGCACTATCAAACAAAATCTGCACGAGAAAATTTGAGCAAAAACATATAACAAAGACTTTATTAACCTAAAAATCAAAAGTTGTCGACTTTGATAGATTTAAATGTTTTAATGAGAAAAAAAAATAGAGAAAATTTGTTAAGCTTATAGCGACAGCTTCAAAACATTACAGCTCCATGTATCCACAATGCTGGGGGAAAAAAAGAGAAAAATCTGTAGAAAACTGAAGAGAAGAACTAGAGCAGAAAAGTAATAAATAAGATGTTATAACTTACAAGTCAAAACTTGTATATTTTGATAGACCTATTAAAATTTACAATAATCCAAAAAAGCTTATGACAATGAGGCAAATTTGAACTGAGTTATCCGACAAGAAAAGCCCTTTGAGCCTTGACCTCCTGAGGCTACGGTGCCCCTCTGCCTGAGCTCCTGAGGCTACGGTGCCCCTCTGCCTGAGCTCCTGAGGCTACGGTGCCCCTCTGCCTGAGCTCCTGAGGCTACGGTGCCCCTCTGCCTGAGCTCCTGAGGCTACGGTGCCCCTCTGCCTGAGCTCCTGAGGCTACCGTGCCCCTCTGCCTGAGCTCCTGAGGCTACGGTGCCCCTCTGCCTGAGCTCCTGAGGCTACGGTGCCCCTCTGCCTGAGCTCCTGAGGCTACGGTGCCCCTCTGCCTGAGCTCCTGAGGCTACCGTGCCCCTCTGCCTGAGCTCCTGAGGCTACGGTGCCCCTCTGCCTGACCTCCTGAGGCTACGGTGCCCCTCTGCCTGAGCTCCTGAGGCTACCGTGCCCCTCTGCCTGAGCTCCTGAGGCTACCGTGCCCCTCTGCCTGAGCTCCTGAGGCTACCGTGCCCCTCTGCCTGAGCTCCTGAGGCTACCGTGCCCCTCTGCCTGACCTCCTGAGGCTACCGTGCCCCTCTGCCTGACCTCCTGAGGCTACCGTGCCCCTCTGCCTGAGCTCCTGCGCAATATATATATTACTATCATTCACATCATCGTCAGAATCCCATTCTATATCCCACTCAGGGTAGTCCTTGGCATTACCAGCATCTGTTTTTTGGGGGGGTTTTTTGGTAAGAGTTTTACAGTGCTCGCAACTGCATAAGGTCATATGAGCGCGCAGGACACACCAAACATTTTCAGTTGATTGAAAATTTTGAATTTTGCCCGGGTGGCAGCCGAAGCCTACTCTTATCGATTTTAGACCACCAAGGGATCTTTAACTAGCAAAACTTGTACACAGAACCTCCGACAATTTTCGTCTTTGTCCGAGAAGGCTAGGCGTAGATCTTTTCTACCAAAAGAATCAGGGGTGTGGCTGAAAGACAGCAGTCAGAAGGCGCCAAGGAGTAATAGTAGAAAGGCTACAGAAAGTCAGGAGCCCAGAGGAGGGGGCGAAGGAGGTGGTGGCAGAAAGCAGAGATGAAAGCAGACAACAGAACATTGCTAAAGAGCAAGAGAGGAGGTGAAAGGAGACAATTTTAGAGAAGTAAATTTTTCGGTCACTACCCGGATTCGAACCCGGGACCTTTGAATGAGCTGCGAACACCTTAGCCTCGAGGCCACGAGAGCCCCTACCAGCATCTATTTCAGAAAAATGTTCAAAATAACTAATAAAGTCTTGTGTAGTAAACACGGTTTCCAGTGCACGTTTTGTCACAGACGTGCCGGGTTGAGGAAAGGGTTTCCCTCACCACTGTGCTGGTGGCTGGGCATACGGACAATTTTACATGTACTAGGGCTCAAAAGGTTTACAACTAAACTTTTCCACGCAAATTTTAAGATCACGCTGTGGCAGATATGTACCTCCAAAAACAAAGAAAGAAAGATATAAAAGAAGTTTTTTACCATCTGGCATAAGACTATTGTCAGAATAAGCATAATGTGTATTGCTCTTTACAGTATGTATCTACGAGTATATAACTCCAGAGGTCTTGTAATCAAATTCCTGCATGTGGTTGAACGATGCATTTAATGTGATATGTACATTTTGTCAGCTTTACTTCTCTTTTCATGTTGAATTTTAATGAGGGTAATATATATTTTAGATTTTTTATGTATATTTGCATGTGTTTTTACGGTCCTGTACAGCCAAGAAATATTTCCCTATCCGATAATAAAGTATTATCTTGCCTTATCTTATCTTACTTTTATGGTGTCGCAAATGGTTAAAAAGAATCAATAAAAGGAATGAAACACAGAATGTCACTGGTTGGAATTCAGTAATTGTATTTAAGAAAAAAACCTAAATGATATAATATATGAGGCGTGCAGACAAAATGAGTAACTTCTTGCAGTTCATGTATGGAGATGATATCGGCCAAATATCAACAAGCAAGTGAAATTTGTAGATGTTCAACTAACGCCACTATCTTCAAGTTTAACATGACTTTTATTCTTTTTTTTTTGGTAAGTGTCTTACGGCGCTCGCAACGGCATAAGGTCATATGAGAGCGCGGGACACACCAAACATTTTCAATTGGTAGGAAACTTTTTATTTTGCACGGGCGGCGGCCGAAGCCTACTCATTGATTTTCATGTCGTTTATGATTTCATACTAATAAATTGTAAAATCACTATAAACCTATAAATCTGATGAATCTATATCCATAACTCTAATATCCAAGAAGTAATTCATGTTGTCGGCTCACTTCATATATATATATATATATATAAAAAGAGAGAGAGAGAGAGAGAGAGAGAGAGAGGGAGAGGGAGAGAGAGAGGGAGAGGGAGAGGGAGAGGGAGAGGGAGAAGGAGAGGGAGAGGGGGAAAGGGAGGTAGGGAGGTAGAGAAGGAGGGAGAGAGAGAGGAAGGAGGGAGAGAGAGAGAGAGAGAGAGAGAGAGAGAGAGAGAGAGAGAGAGAGAGAGAGAGAGAGAGAGAGAGAAAAAGAGAGAGAGAGAGACAGAGAGAAGATAAATATTTTGTTGATACTCACCACTCCTTTCTCCCAAATGATAGACATGCGATCCTCGACTCCATTCACTCCGTTGGGAATACGTCTGAAATCATCTTTGCCGAGAGCTTTCTGATTGGTATTGAAAGTACAGTTGTCTGTGCCGGTCAGCTGGAGGTCATCACTGGGGACAGAAACAAACACATTGGTCAGTAGTGCTGTGTCGAGCGCGCTCGAGCGCTCGTTACTCGCAAGCAGCACCCTTCTCCAGCCACTCAAGCGGTACAGACATCGCTCTGTACACGGTTGCTCAAGTAATACTCAACCATCAGTGCCCGAGCGAGAGCAGTGTTCCAACAGTGTCTCCGTCTCCTTTTAGTTCTTGTAAATGTTTTACAGCACTTGCAACACAATAAGGTCATATAAGTGCCGAAGATTAGAGGTGTTACAAGAGAGTAACAAAGACAAAAAAGAAGGAGGGGAGATAAAAGACGATAGATATTTGATAGGAAAGAAGAAGCAAACCACACCAGAGCACCCGCCAACCACCCACAGTGTATCCGTCTCCTCCCAATGAAAGAAATAACAAAGTGGGAAAGACAAGAAGTAGGACCTACCAGGGGCGCCTTCTAACTATCCACATTATGAAATAGGAGAAACATTTCACGAGATTGGAAATGTTTGTTTTGTTTTTTATTTGAGTAAAAATAATCACATCAACACAATAATGGTCATTTAGAACTGGGAAAAGTAAGACAGACATACAGAAACAACAGAGGGAAAGTAATAATAATAATAATGATTATAATAACAGTTAAAATAGTAATAATAATAAAATTCATAACAATAAAAAAAAGGATTATAATAGACAGCATTTGTATAGCGCAAATTTTTGCTCAACAGTAAGCTCTAGGCACTTTAAATTAAAAAACAGGACCTACCAGTGGCACCCTCCAACCACCCACACATGACGAAATAGGATAGACATTTCCAGAGAGTGAGTGGACACACACTCGATACATACTTGGCCAAAAGATCCATGAGGTAGCCCGGGGTGGTCGGGTCAGCTCGGAGCGGAGGGCCCATGACGTAGGCTGCAGCATGGTGCCAGCACTGGTCAAAGTGGTGGCTTCCGTCCGTGCCCAGACCGGCCGCGGTGGGCTCGCCAAACACGATCTTGCCTGGACAGACAGAGGCAGACATGGGAGATAATTATTTTTCTTTTTACCAAGAGTTTTACGGGGATTGCAGCTGCATAAGGTCATTATGAGAGCGCGAAACACAAGTTGGTTGCATTCACAACAGTTCACTGCACGGCTTGGTTTTGGTTAATGATCAAATTAAATGCTCACTAATGTGTCACGACGTGGTGGAAGTAGGCATTAACTTTTAGGCATTTGGGATTATCAGTTTATCTCAATACCTGTTCATTTCCCTTGCTTTTGGAGAAAAAAAAATATTCATTTATGTTGAATAGAAGTCGAAATATTTTCAATTGAAGGAGGTCAGAGTCGACAGGTTTTAGAGGTAAAATTAGGGAGAAATGGCCACCCAAGTTTGGTAACTTCCATAGCCTGAGAGTCCTCTGAAACTGAAAATTTACATTTTTTGTGCTTTCAATCAACGTTTTTCAGTAAAATTCACAAGAAACAATGTTTTTATACGGACATAAAAGGATTTGAGCCAATAAAAATAAAAAATTCGATAACAATTTCCTACCGGGTGGAAAAATGCCTGTTTCACCGATTTTGTTATTTTGACAAGCGCTTGATTTCAACACGATACCTCCCAATTTTTCTAGCACAAACCTTCTCTCCTGGCTTTGCTGACCACGTTGGCCGAAGGTTTGCTCATGACATGCACCACGTACAGCGGAGATCCGGCCTCGTTAGCAATGGTCACAGCACGTTGGGTCGCCTCTTCCTCCACCTGGCCCAGAGAGTTGGGAGTTTTTAGGAAGAGTTTTACAGCATTTGCAATACAATTAGGTCGTATAAGTGGCGAAGATTAGTGTTGTTACAACAGAGTTTTTTTTGTTTCAGTAGAGTTTTATGGCACTTGCGACACAATAAGCTTACATACGTGGCAGAGATCAGAGGTTTTAGGAAGAGTTTTCATTTTAGTAAGTGTTTTACGACACTAGCAACACAATAAGGTCATACAACAGTCGAAGATTAGAGGTGTTACAAGAGAGTAACAAACATAAAAAAGAAGGAGGAGAGATCAGGACGATAGTTGTTTGATAAGAAAGACGGAGCAAACCACACCAGACCACCCGCCAACAACCCACAAGTAAGTGTTAACAGAATTTGCAGAACAACCAGGTCAAACAAGCGCCGAAGATTAGAAATGTTACAACAGAGTTTTTTGTTTTAGTGTTTTACTTCGTTACCATCATCACCATCACCATCCCCATTACCACCAACTAAACAATTCCCCTTTTCCTTCTTTTTTGTTTTTCGTGTTTTTCTTGAAACATAACAATTTGCACAATGTCAACACATTTTTACGTAACCTGCAAGTATCGGCACCATAATCAGGACACAGGACAACCCCCCCCCCACCAATTTATTTAACTGCACTTGCAACACAATTAGGTCATATAAGTGCCGAAGATAAGAGGTGTTAGAAGAGAGTAACAAACACCAAAAAAGGAGGAGAGATAAAGATGACAGATGTTTTAGTTTTAGTAAGAGTTTTACGACACTTGCAACACAATAAGGTCAAAGATTAGAGGTGTTACAAGAGAGTAACAAACACAAAAGAGAAGGAGGAGAGATTAGGATGATAGTTGTTTGATAGGAAAGAAGGAGCAAACCACACCAGAGCCACCCGCAACCAACCGCCCATTCCCTCGCAGCCCTACAAACTTCAACACATGTTAAGGACCACCTTGACAGACACCCTGACTTTTTTTTAAATCTGAAAAAAAAAGACAGCAAGGTATTTTTCTAAATTTTTTGGCTCTGAAAGTGGTAATGAGTTACCAATGCGTACTGCAAAGCTCCGTAAAGGGGCAGAACCACCACGCGCAATACGGAAATCTTCTGGGAATTTTAGCTAAATTTGCTGCTTTTTCATCGATTTGTGAGCGACACCATGGACATTCCTCAGTTAATATTTCTGGTGCACGTCATAAACGGACAAACGGTCTCGAACAGTGCTCACTTTGGTGACAATATAAGCCGCCGTTTGCACAAAATTCAGTATCGCATCAACATGCCACCGAGACGAAAGCTGAAAGACTTCGATCGTGCCAGGGCTATGGAAGGAGTTGGAGCCCGAGAAGTTGCCAGAAGGCTTGCAGTGTCACACTCGGCTGTCATTGTCCACCTGTGGCAGTGCCATCAAGCCACTGGATCAATCCAAGAACGCTCACGTGCAGGTCGACCCCAGAAGACCACACAGAGTGTTTGCAAGTGGTCCTTAACTTATGTTGAAGCCTGTAGAAGCACACACCACAGCAGCTCTAAGTCTTACCTCCACCGGACGACACTGCAGATGTCCCTCCGGTCCTGTGATTCCTTGGTCAATCATCTCAGCCGATTTCTGGTGAAAAATAGTCAAATGATAAATATTTTGTTTAGTTTAGTTTAGTTAAAGTTTTACGGAGCCCGTAACTACATAAGGCAAATGTTTTTACTTGTTAGTTTTAGTAAAACTTTTACGGAACTTGCAACACCATAAGATCATATAAGTGCCGAAGATTAGAGGTGTTGCAAGAGAGTAACAAGCAAAAAAGAAGGAGGAGAGATAAAAACGATAGATGTTTAAAAGGAAAGAAGAAGCAAACCACACCAGAACACCCGCCATCCACCCACATTTCTGGTGAAAAATGGCGAAATGGTAAATGTTTTGTTTAGTTTAGTTAAGTAAGAGTTTACGGCGCCCGTAACTGCATAAGGTAAATGTTTAACGCCCCTATCATTACTATCCGGTTATTCAAGAGGTGGGACATCCCAGCTATCTCAGAAAAAAAGGACTAAGCTAAAATTTAATAGGAGTTTGTGTAAAGTGTCTGTCTCTAGGACACATTGTCGGACCAAGCTGAGACATTTTGGTGTGTTTGTTGCTCTCTTTTTTGTTTTGTTTTAGTAAGTGTTTTACAGCACTTGCAACACAATAAGGTCATATAAGTGCCGAAGATTAGAGGTGTAACAAGAGAGTAACAAAAACAAAAAAGAAGGAAAAGAGATCAGGACAATAGATGTTTCATAGGAAAGAAGAAGCAAACCACACCAGAGCACCCGCCAATCACCCACTGCTCTCTATTAACACAAAAAAAGGAGAGATAAAGGCGATAGATGTTTGATAAGAAAAAAGTAGCGAACCACACCAGAACACTCAACAACCAACCACTCTCAGAGGATCAAGATTATTGGAAACCAAGGCTCCAAGAATAAAAGAATTAAATTTTTTTAGTAGAGGTTTTATGGTGCTCGCAACTGCATAAGGTCATATGAGCGCTAGAAGATTAGAGGTGTTACAAGAGAGTAACAAACGTAAAAAAGAAGAGAAGTTAAGGACGATAGATGTTTGATAGGAAAGAAGAAGCAAACCACATCAGAGCGCCAACCACCCCAAAAAATTCTCCAAATACTCGTATCAAGACAGAAAAACTCACAATTGCAATGAGGTGTCCATTCTCCGCGTGCACCATGGGAAGAGCTCCCAGCTCCCGGCAGACCTTGAAACATTTGTAGATCTCGGGATCCTCCAACATCATGACGTCTTTGTAGGCCATGAACACTTTGTACGAGTTGACACCTTGACCACGGGTACAAAAATAACTTTCAAAACCCATTTGTTTGAGTTACGAAAAGAGATTTAATTTTAGTGAGAGTTACAGTTTAGTCTTAGTAGAGTTTTTAATGGCGCTCGAAACTGCATAAGGTCATATGAGGGCCAAGGGGTGGATGTCAACAGAGTAGTCCTTTTAGGGAATCAGACTTACTCTGCTCAACTGTCTAGTTTCAACAGCACAAAGTCTGCTTCGACTATCAAGACACCGCGGAAATAGCGGGTCACCAGAGTGTGACAAACATACAAAAGAAGTAGAGGGAAAATGACGATAGTAAGGATGAGGAAAGAAAATGCAGCAGTTTCCAGTTGCAGTACAGGCACAGTTATGAGCATGACATTGATGAATCAGCCCATTTACAATTACAATTCTACTGAGTATAAGAACTCGAGATGTCAATGTCCCCGCCCCCTTTGGGAATGACCTAAAGACACTTCAGTCAGTAGCACCGCCCCGGGGGTAACCCATTTGTTTGAGTTACGTGAAGAGATTTAGTTTTAGTGAGACTGCATTTTCAACACATTTAGGTCATATAAATGCAGAAGATTACAGGTGTTACTACTAGAGAGTAATTTAAAAAGAAAGAAAAGGAGGGGCAATAAAGACAACTGTCATTTGATAGGAGGAAAGGAATTAGTTTAGTAGAGGTTTCACAGTGCTCGCAACTGCATAAGGTCATATGAGCGCCAGAAGATTAGAGGTGTTACAAGAGAGTAACAAAAATAAAAAAGAAGAAGGGGAGATAAGGACGATAGATGTTTGGTATGAAAGAAGGAGCAAACCACACCAGAGCACCCGCCAACCACCTGCTTGAGTTACGTGAAGAGATTTAGTTTTAGTGAGAGTTTTACTGCATTTTCAACACATTTAGAACATATAAATGCAGAAGACTACAGGTGTTACTATCAGGGGCGAAGGCTGACTTGTTTGACAGGGTAATCAAAGTGAAACGGGACCAGATATGGCCTGTAGATATGACACAAGAATCTTACTCGAGGCGGCGACTCTGAGTTGTGAATGAAAACAAATCCGGAATTCATATTGTATGTTCAATGTTCAACCGCCAAAATAATCGGGAAAGTATCTTATTAATATCAGTTCCAACTAAAATTAAATTTAACTTTAGATGTGAATACATAAACACAAAGCAAAGAAGCAGAGACGTCAGTACTAGATCTATATGTTATAGATCTACAAGTGAGTCTAACTCTTTGGTAGAACATGACAATTATCATTTTTTAAATTTTACATTTGGCTGTTTTTGTTAGCCTTTCGCGGCCAGGAGCTGGTGTCATAATCGAGGTCACGATCTGATTATAGGACGGTAAAAAGTCGAGGAAAAAAAGCAAGCACTTGCAACAGTGAAGAGATTGTTAGGAGTTAGTTCCCCTCACATTTGTGAGGTAGACTCGACCAGTGTTAGTTAGCTTACCTAATCAGGGCTTGAGATTGATTATAACTGTGACCCCAAAGGGGTGAACAGGGTATATGTGGCAATGAAACAGCTTAGACTGCTATGCACATGTTCCCTTCAACTATATTGGTGGACTCTTCCAGCCTCACTTTAAGCTTACTTAATCAAAGCTTGCGACTGCTTATGGAGTGGCCCGAGAGGGGTGAGGAGGCTATTTCTGTGGCCGTGAAACCGTTTTGAATGTTAGGCATACTGTTCATTGTTGATTACGAACGTCTTTTGACATTTAATTTAAGAGGTTTACGTTTATGGATGAATTTGACAGCGACAATGTTTCAAAATTAGGAAGGGAAGCAGTGATTATTTGATTATATAGACGCTTCGCCCCTGGTTACTACTAAAGAGTAATATAAAAAGAAAGAAAAGGAGGGGCGATAAAGGAAACATTTGTCTCATAGGAAAGAAAGAGCAAACAACACCAGAGCACCCAACCAAGCAACGTTGGAAACAACAACAACAACAACAACAACTCTTCGTCAAACAGAGAGTGTAATCAACTTTACCTGTCCCCGTCGTTTTATTTAAGAAAAATTCTGAAATTATGCAAACTGAGCCCAAAAAATTTGAAATTATGTTGTTTTTTTGTTTTTTTAAATAGCAGAGGGTTTTACGGTGCTCGCAACTGCATAAGGTCATATGAGCGTCAAGGGGTGGGTGTCAACAGAGAAGTCTTTACAGGGAATCAGACTTACTCTGCTCACCTCTCTAGCTTCAACAGCACAAGGTCTGCTTCAACTATCAAGGCACCCCGGAAATAGCGGGTCACAAGAGTGTGACAAGCATACAAAAGAAGTAGAAGAAAATGACAATAGTAAGGATCAGGAAAGAAAAAGCAGCAGTTCCCTGTTGCAGATCAGGCACAGTTATGAGCGTGACATGAATCAGCCCATTTACAATTCTACTGTGCTTGAACGAGAAATGTCCCCCCTTTGGGAATGGCCTAAAGACACTACAGTCAGTGGCACTGCCCCGGGGGCGAAAAAATGATCAAATTTTGCTAAATTAAGCGGGGTGCATAAAACCACGGGGACAACTTTACCTCTATCCTGGGACAAGGTCTGCATCTCCTGGGCTACCTGGTCTCCCCACCAAGTGACCGCCACATGCAGCCCGTAGTCACAGCACACTCTGGGGTCGGCCCAGCCGCGCCATTTCTCAAAGGCCTCCAGGAGAGATTCGTTCTTTTGAGGGATCACAAAGTCGACTGGGAAGAGTAACAAAAGAGATTTTTTTTTTTTAAGAAGAAAAAAATGGGGAAAAAAAGGTTACTGCATTGGTTTTTAGTTATAGTTTTAGTAAACGTTTCATGACAGTTGAAATACAATATGGTCATATAGGTGCAGAAGACAAGGTAGTAGTAGTAGTATAGGATTTTACGGCGCTCGCAACTGCTAAGGTCATATGAGCGCGCAGAGATGCTACAAAAGAGTAACAAACACAAAGAAGAAGGACAGATAAAGACGATAGAAAACCACACCAAAGCACCCGCAAACAACCCACATGGCATTGGATAAATTCCTTTTCAAAAATTGGTGAAATAGTATAGGTTTAGTTTAGTTTCTGAAAGAGTTTTACGGCATTTGCAACCCAATAAGGTCATATAAGTGCCGAAGAATAGATGTGTTAAAAGAGAGTAACGTACACAAAAAAAGGAGAGATAAGGACGATAGACGTTTGATAGGAAAGAAGGAGCAAACCACACCCGAGCACCCACCAACCACCCGCATAGTATAGGTTTACCACCCCTATCAACACTATAATGTTATTTAACTTAGAGGCGGAACTTTCAAGTTTAACATCTATCTTAGAAAGGTCCCGCCGAAAGGACCAAGCGAAATAAGAAATTCATATAAAAAGACTTTCCGAAGGACACAATGCCAGACTGAGCTGAGGTTCAAATCCCCGAACACGCAAACAGAAACAAAGGGTTACTACATCGACTAAAAAGTCCCTTTCAACAATGTAAAGTTATTAAAATTATCAACCTCTAAATCAAACGTCCATCTTTGACAGGATCCAGCCAAGTAAGAGGAGAAACTTTATTTTATTAGGAGGGCGGGATCTCCGAGAAGAGACTGGCACACAATGAGTTAAGAACATTCCAGAACTCACTGATCATGGTGGTGCCTCCAGCCAGAGCCGCCCGGGTGCCGCTGTAGAAGTCGTCTGCCGACACCGTGCCCATGAAGGGCATCTGGAGGTGGGTGTGAGTGTCGATGCCACCTGCACACAAGACAATAATGGGTTTTTAGTTTTAGTAATAGTTTTACAGCAACTGCAACACAATCAGGTCATATTTAAGGGAAAAAGATTAGAGTTTAGTTTTAGTAACAGTTCTACGGCACCTGAAACACAATCAGGTTATATTTAAGTGCAAAAGATTAGAGGTGTTACAAGACAGTAACAAACACACACAAAAAAAGGAGGAAGCAGAGATAAGGACGATAGAGGTTGCAACACAATCAGGTCATATTTAAGTGATCAAGGTTAGAGGTGTTATAAGACAGTAACAAACACAACAAAGAAGGAGAGAGAGAGATAAGGACGATAGAGATTTATTAGGAAACAATGAGCAAACCACACCAGAGCACCCATCGACCATCCACACTTGCAACTCAATCGGGTCATATTTAAGGAACGGAGATTAGAGATGTTACTAGAGCGTAACATTCAAACAGAAGAAGGTGAAGGAGGAGAGAAAAAGACAATAGATGATTGATAAGAAAGAAGAAGCAAACAACACTAGAGCACCCACTAACCACCCACTCATACACAGACAATGTTTTAAAAAGTTCATTGAGTAAAACTAAACTTAAATTAAGTAGATGTTTTACAGTATTATCGACACAGTTTTGGTCACTACAGCCCACAAAATGGAAGTTATATCAAACAATGGCCTATCCAACTATTCATTTTATTCTACAAAAGTAAACTTGTGCCCTTCATCCGAGATTTACATGACCAAATATGCACAATCAGTGATGTTATAGGGGTTGCCATGACACCTTAAGTGAAAGGTGCTTCTAACATATTTTACAAATGGAGGGTTGAATTTACCCCTACTGTTCATTGATTTAATGCCTCACCCTCCCCCCCTCTCTCTCTCTTTCTATAAAGACATACAAACATAACATTTTTCCCCGCAACACAAGTATTTTCTTTCTATCTTATTCTACAAATTTCAAACTCATGCACTCCATGACTGCCTACCCATCAGAGATGTTTTAGTAATCGGCAAACAAAAAACTAATAATCTGGCTTAAAGAAATTCTTAATATTACGCCCATGGATACTCTTCTCCCCTGAAGTGTACAGCACAGGGGTGGTAGTCAAGTATAATTATGTAACGAAAATCAAGGTGTGATATAAAAAGAGGTCTTCATGGGCCTTTTACAGCTGAGTTTAGAAAAAAAAAAGGAAAAGGAGGGGGGGGGAGTATCTCCATTTGCATAATTAATTAAAATATTGCTGAGTTTAGACAAAAAGGGAAAAAGGTAAGGGGGGAGGGAGTACCTCAATTTGCATAATTAAAAGAAACCTTGGGAACTACAGAATACGCCACTAGCCTGCGATCCTGATTGCGCATCACAATACACCATGCCACGCATTCACCGTAGCTAATTGTATAAAGTTTCAAACAATGATCTTTTAATAATAATTAATAATAATTGCATTTACATAGCGCATATCCACGCTCAAGAGCATGCTCTAGGCGCTTTACAACTATTATTACCCCAGAAGACCCTCAGAGAACACTCAGAGACATTTTTGGCTTCCGCGGAAGCATACAGAGCAAGCTGCGGATTTCACGCGCTCAACCACTATCAAACTGACAAGATCGTTCACTGTCTATAGCCGGGTACCCATTTCCACCTGAGTGAAGTGAGGAAAATTTGTGCAAAGTGCCTTTCCCAAGGACACAATGTCAGGCCCCTGCATGACGGGATTCGAACCCACCACCTTACGGTTGCGTGTCCGAGAGCCTAACCACTAAGCCACCGATGCCACACAAAAAAAATATTCTCAGATTGGCCTAGGTTGTCTCTAACAACGCAAATTAGGGCTGGAATTTTTCAACACCTAGTCATCCTAATGTATGCCTTACTCCTGGCTTTCGCACTTCTACTGTCTAATGTTTTTCTATGGGGTAAAGAGGCACTGAGTGACTACAAGGGCTCAAAGCAAAGAGGGTGTTAAAGTTGGACAGTTGAAATTTATGTAGTGATGGAGACTGTCCAGGCATCGTGGTTGTTCTCCCCTTATACAGCGGGAAGGTTGGCAGTGGGTTGTGGTAGCCAAAATCTTTTTTAAAATCTAGGGTATTCCGATCATATTTTCGTAAAAATTGAATAAAAATGGTAACAATTCTGACAATTTAATTATGGGCAGCCCTGTCACTCACACATACTTGCTTATCTGCAAATAGGCACATAAAATGTATAATATTATGCTCTAAAAAAAAAAACCCAAAGCAATGACAAAGATCTATTGCCAATAAAAATAATAAGAGTATAACAGAAGGGAATTTGGCAATTGTATTTCCTGACTGGAAACAGAAGATCAGACTTAAATAGATTCGAATAGCTGCACCACGGCAAACTGCAATTGAGCGGTATCATTTGAAACTATCATTATATTATGTGAAGCAGGTAAACTATCATTATATTATAATTATGTGAGACCGGTAAACTATCATTATATTATAATTATGTGAGACGGGTAAACTATCATTATATTATAATTATGTGAGGCGGGTAAACTATCATTATATTATAATTATGTGAGGCCGGTAAACTATCATTATATTATAATTATGTGAGACGGGTAAACTATCATTATATTATAATTTTATGTGAGCTGGGTAAACTATCATTATATTATGTGAGGAGGGTTAACTATCAGAGGTCGGTAAACTGTCATTATATTATGTGAGGAGGGTAAACATCATATGTGAGGTGTGATGAAAAAATGAGTTACTTCTCACGATCCCCGAAAGGAGATACTTGCAGAAAAAAACATCTACACTGGGATCAGAGGGTGCCAGTGCCATTTACTTTATGTTACACGTGTCTTTTTTTTTTTTTCAAATTTCTAGATTGTACAAACTCCACCTACAAATTTGTAAAATAGATGTAAGTCCATGGGGCTGAAACCTAAGAAGTAACTCATTTTGGCAGCATACAAGGGTGAAATGGTATATGTTTAACTCCCCAATCAACACTATTAAATTATTCAAGAGGTGGGACCTCTGAGTTTAACGTCCATCTCCGCAAGGACCAAGCCAAATGGTAAATTCGTGTTAAGTGCCTTTCCCACGGACACAACATTGGACTGAGCTAACGCTCAAACCCCTGAACTTGCAATCTCACGATTACCGGTCCAGTAGCCTATACATTAGGCCACCCACGCCAACTGTCAGCATGCGTTACATATCATAGTAAGATGAAACAGATCGGGAAATTAAGTAATCATACCTGGCATGACAAACTTCCCCTCGGCATCAATGACCCTCGCATCTGCTGGTGTATTCAAGCTGGTGCCCACTTCTCTGTGAAGCAACAAAATATTACATGTTTATTTTCAATTTCGATGGCAACAAGGCCAGAGGGTGACCGAGAAAGACCTGGATAGATTGAGTCAGGGAAACACTAACCACCCACGGCATCCCCCTCACCCAAGCTCTCCGGCTGGCGACAGAGAGACGTCTTTTTCTTCCCGCGACACCAAAAAGGGTATAAGCAGCGGATAAAAGTAAAAGTAAAAGTATTTTCAATTTACATCCTAACTTTAACAGTTAGTACTTAATCCCCAGGCCGTATTATGTGCTCATTACTGCTGGTGACTTTAGTCGCCCACTGAACCAAGCACACTAAGCATCACGCAACAACAAACGGACCCACTGCACTCAAGTAAATACCAAAGAAAGTCACTCTATATGATAGTTGAATGGTGGATGAACCTTTGAATTTCTAAAGTGAGTTTCTTGAGCAGTGAAGGTTTTTAATTTTTTTATAAATTCTACACTGGCTTCAGCATTCTTAAACCCGGGTAGTATTTGAGGGTTTTTCACTATATGAGCCTTCAGTACTGTAAGTGTTAACACATCATGAAAAATGCCATCATTGTCTTTTTCACCCTTGATCAGGCTATACTATAAGCAACGGACAAACACTTGCCACTTTTCCCCTACTCTGGGCTAGCTTCTTGACACTACATCTTTCTCTGTGACTTTTCACATTGCTCCACCTGGTCTCCCATTACACATCGTTCTTTAACTCTTTAAGCCCTGAGTTTTTTCCACCGTTTCCCTGAGTTTTTTCTACGGTCACCTAAACCTAGTGCACTGTGTCTCATTATAACCCCAAAAGCTAGCCTCCCACTTCTAAATAGCTGAAACAAAGGCTTAGTCATTACTAAAAAACTTAGTTCTGGAAGAATTCTGAAAAACAAGCAAAAACTATCACTAAATAAAACGAAAGTTATCACTAGTACTGGATACGCCTAGCGTCCGATGGGGTTCAAAGAGTTAACTCATTTACCCCACAGTTGATTTACAATAAATCTAAGCTAAAATCAAATCCCCCTTCTCCAGTTGAGTGATTATGGCCCCAAGATATTAAAGTTCACATGTAATTGACAGAGTACAATAATTATAATTTAATGGTAAAAACCAATAAATCTTGAGAAACTTCCAAAGTCAGTTAAATTAATCTAAACTCAAGTCACCAGCAGTATACACACCATCTTCGAACAAGCAGGTTTTTATTATTTTGTTCACAGACAACATATTACAAGTTATCTTGAAGTGAAAAAAACCTCAAGCTGTTAATGTAGATTTTCTGACCAGCAGTACAAACTGCTGAGGCTTCACGAATAAGAAATGCTGAAACCAAGGGAGAGATCCCTTCAAGCTGCGCACATCCACAAGTGGAAGTAGAGCTTTTAAATGTTCAAAATATGGCAAACTTTTCTCTGCCAGAATTAGTCTCATCGGCCACAGCAGAAGCCACAAGCCACTGTAACCTTTAATTCTTCAAATTTTTCTATTTTACCAGAGGAATATTCTCCTCTGCAGATGTACTGGTCGTTGTCAAGCATTGACCGACGAGCTATGATGATGATGATGGTGATGCATGTGGCGATGATGAAGACGACGATTTTTATTATCATTATCTTTTTTTATTATTATAATTATCATTATAGCTATCATTATTATCATAAATATTATTATTATTATCACAAACTTACTTGATGATTCCATCCTCGATAAGAACATCTCCTTGAAATGAAAAGTCATCATTAACAATCTGTCCATTTTTGATGAACACGATGTTCTTCTGCAAATAAAAGAATGTAAAGAAAAATCTTGAAAGTGTTGCAAATGCAGGAATAAACAATTCCATAAACAATAAAACTTGGCTTTCTAGGCTCCAATGCCACTGAAAAAAAAACCACCAAAAAAAATGCAAAGGTTTCAGGCTGACATCGACACAATTTAGGTCACTTAAAAGACACACTGCTTCAGCCCAGCTTGTCAGGACCGAGCCGTACCATAATGAGACCCATACGATATCCCTGCAGACAGATACAAATACTTGATTAAAAAACACCTGACCACACGACAATCTTTAACACATCTTAAATGTGCAATAGCGAAGGGCTTCGCACTACACCAAATATACCGATCCAATAACGACTAATTATTAAACAAAATTAAATGACTTTGTGAGGTGGTGCAGTGCTGTAATTTTAATAGTCTGCCTAAAAAATTCAAAGAATTCAAAAGTCAGAAAACAAAACCAAAAAATCAAAATAAGTCATCAAGAGCAAGGAACGGGCCAGAAAAAAAGCTAGAGTCAGAGAAACAGAAAATATGCAGAGATTATCAACAGCTATATAAGAGGGAATTTCTGTTACCCTGAAATAAATATAAAAACTGACCTAATTACCTGGCTTACGGGTCTTTCGGGACCTAGCTGGGTTCAGCACAGCTGGCACAGCTGAAACCTACTTATATATATGTATTAGCCTATGTCTCCTTATGCGCGGCGCAACGAAATGTTTAGTCGCATGCGACAGTCGCAAGAGATGAGTTGCAAGGTGTGAATCACACCACGCCAAAATTTTCAGCAAAAGCGACAAAACTGTCTCCTTATGCGCGACGCAACGTTTAGCCACACATGACTGGCTAAGCCCTCTTGCAACTGGCAATTCACAGAAGGGAGACAGTGGCAAATTTTAATGTCAAGATGGAAAAGGAAGTACAAATTCCGTCAGATGGGAGCTCTACTAGCCACTGACATTTTTTATTCCGTACATGGCCGATCCCGTGTAAGTCCTCCTTCTCCTTCTCCTCCTCCTCCTCCTCTTCCTCCTCCTCCTGTTGTCCATTAAAAAAACAAAACAACAAAATTAGATTCACAAAACTTGTCTTGGGTCAAATTGAAGATGAAACATACACACACACAAACACACACACACTTACCACACACACACACACTACAAACACCACACACCACACATACACACACTTACCAAACACACACACTACACACATCACACATACACACACACTACACCACACCACACATGGCATGTCGACAGGCACTCCTTGACCAGGTATTTTGACCAATGGTGATGCTCTAAATATATCTGTCACACCCCTGGTCTGTCGTGTGCCACGAAACCCTCGATCGCTACATGGACCTATAAAAGGCGACAGTAGCGTGCGACTAGACGTCACGTCGCATCATGTATTTATAGGAGACAGTTTCTTTATAATCTTACTTGATTGACTTTAGAACGGCAAGGACCCCACTCGAGGCGACGTAAGGGCACAAGCCCTTAGAGGTGTTACAAGAGAGTAACAAACACAAAAAAAAGAAGATATCAGGACAATAGATATTTGATAGGAAAGAAGGAGCCAAACCACACCAGAGCACCCGCCAATCACCTACCCCGTATTGTCTGCACTCAGTAACATAACAGCCCACCTGCACATTCTACAACTAACATTAACAGCAGAGAAAGCTAGTCCAGAGAACCTTTTAAACCAGACTTCCACACGATAAGCCCCCAGCTCCTCCACATTTCCTCGTGCTGTAAAGCAAAGTCTCCACGAACCGGTGAGAACAGTCTTATCCTTATCTACCTTCGTGAAACAAACATGTTATCATTGGGCTGGGTTAGACTGCCACACTCCATTCAAGGGTCAAAGGAAAATGCGCTTAGATTACTTCGATTGACAAGACCATAATAGCAGGCATTTTCGTTTGTTTGTTTGTTTGAGCAGAGAGATAAATCGTGGGTGGGTGGCGGGTGCTCTGGTGTAGTTTGTTCCCTTCTTTCCTATCGAACATCTATCACCCTTACCTCCCCTTCTTCTTTTTTTTTTTTTGTTACTCTCTTGTAACACCTTTAATCTTCTGGCGCTCATATGACCTCATGCAGTTGTGAGCGCCGTAAAACCTCTACTAAAACTAAACTAGAGAAAAATCGTCAGCAAAATAATTTACTTTGTGGCTGGAAAAAGCAAGACTTGCTTAATAGCCAGAAATAACAGAGGGAGAGTAAAGAAGTAGGACCTACCAGTGGCACCTTAAACCACCTACAGTCATTCTGTGTCAAAAGCAAAAGAGGAGCAGTTAATTAAGAAGTAGATCCTATTAGAGCACCCTCCTTATTAAACCCTCACACTCATTATTAATTCAAAAAGATGTTTAACTCTTTTGATTCTGGATCGCCATTTAGTGGTGTTTTTGGTACCACATTTCAGCAGTTCGCCACTTCAAGAGGTATTTTTGGGGTAGAGCTTCTATACCAATTTTGTCAACTGCAAGATTTACACCTGGTCCTGTGCTACATTTTGACATCGTATTTTCACACATACGTGCACTGTGTTGTGATTTTCTATCCAATTACAAGTAATTTGAGTGCTCCCATAAACACATCCATCAATATTTGACTGAATCACATAGATAATAACCCTTTTAATTTTTTTTATAATGACACCCTAAAATTTGGATGTGTAAAATTGTGTTAACACTGACTCAAATTTCTTCTGATCAGACAATGAATAAGGAATCCGGAGCAACCACAAGAATGTACTTCATTTCCTTCATCAAGCAACAACAATATCAATTTTTTCTTGCCATTAAAAAAATTTCGTAGAGAGGGTATTTTACAGTGGATAAAGCAAAATGACCTCCTCCACATTTTTCATGAAAAGTTTACAATAGGCCTACTATTAACAAGGGAAGCCTACATCAGAAAGTATGCACATCCACCATCCACTCCCCTATCAAGAGCAAAACTGGACAACGAAAGTAACTTACGAAAATGCCTCTTTGACACAATTTTTATCATTTAGGAGATAGACTGCTTCAACCCTACATGTCAGGGCTGAGTCAGACAGAGTGGGATACAGCATTCCAGCAGAATGACTAAAAAAAACTAAATCCTTGTCCGAAAACTGACAGAAACATTTTAAGCCGCAAGAGCAACCTATCTTAAGCGCAAAGTCAAGTTTAAAAGCTAATGCTAAGACCCAAATTACTCTCCAGTATGTCCAGACTACTACTCTGCGAGTGCAAAGCAAATATTGACTTAGGTGGCAACGGCAAAGACAAACCTCTGAACACGACATTGATAAATCAAACGACTCCTTCAGACCGTAGCGATCCTTCAGACTGTAGCGTGCACTTAGCAAATCTCCAAAAATCCACACAGAATGCAAGAGTTTCTAATTTCGTTTTTTTTTTTTATAACTCAAAGAACAAAGTAACAATAGTCTAAACTTTTAAGTAACAGATGAATTTTAAAATAAAATAGTCTCCCTTTTATAATTGAAGTATCTGATACAGTTTTTTTCGCAGGTTCATTTTTATTTTTAAACAAAATTTAGTTTTATCAAAGTTTTCTCTGAAGCATACTTCTGCCAGCAACAAATAAACTGACGGCGGTTTCAAGTATTTGGAGCACAACTTCACTATCCCATGCAGAATCCTATTTTGGAGTCTCTTTACTTTAGAGCTCAGCTCAGCAAACAGTTGAGGACATCTTTATCTTATGCCACGACGGTGTCACGACAAACAAGGAAGCGCTTCTCTTGACAAGCTCTCCATCTTACCACACTGACATTTTGCCTGCTCAACATAACCATTCAACACACTGCACTAAACGATTTGCACTTTTTCTTGTAACAAAATATAACAGACGGTTTTCAGGAAATATAGTTGGGCACAGATATAACACAAACACGCAGAAAACAGGTAGCCCGTACAATATTTGTCATTCCCTGACTGATAACTTTTTTTAAAATTATGTTATCGGTGAATCCGAATCATGGATGTGTCAAACACATAATTTGTCAATTCCTGATGTGTTGAGTTTGAGTTCTGTCTAGACATGATTGTAGGGAAAAATGAAGTGTTCAAATTGAATGGGGACTCTTCACTTAGGTTTGACATTTTCGCTGTC